AAAAAGTAATAAGAAACAATAACTGAATCGAAAGTAAGCCCACGTCGACCGCTTGAAACGGAACCAGTTGAGACCGAGTTTCCCCAAGAAATGCAACATAAATTTCCATTTGGACAAAACTTCATCTTAAGTAAGTTTTCCAACTCTATCCATTAAAATCTTTGCACTTTATCACAAATAGTCGACCGTTGGGGCGTGTGGCGCGGTGGCCAGAGGCGCCCTTCAATACTCACGTAGAAGCAATCCTCGCGCCCATGGCTCACCAAGTCTTCCATCCCTCCTGGATTGGCAAATTGGTACCAGACTTGTCTGGGAGGATAGCGGCACTGGGTCGATGCATCGGCAGGCCACCGCGAGTCATCGTAAAGGCCAGGCATGCATTCAGTCACCTCCAAACAATGTTTAATGAAGTCGAATGCATGACGCATCCCTTAGGGTTTGATCGACACCGAGAGCTTTATCCTTTATCCTATTTTAGTTGACATTTTAGCCATACGTTATGGTGCAATCTCACAGCGGGAGGTTCTCGCTCTGATTGCGTGATTACGAAAGAGACTTGCAAAGTTTGGGATCCTTCTAGGTTAAGATCGAACTTGGGTCATAGGTATTTTTTTGGCTGGGCGTCGAATGGAAAACTTGAAGTTTCCCTCAGCTTGATGATGACACCGTCTACGTGGTAAAGAACTACTTCAATAGCAAGGAATGCATTGCTCTAAAGAAACCATAATCCATTGATAGGAGAATTTATCCGCAAATTTAGAAAATTTTCGCAAAATCTGATAAATGTATCAGATTTATCAGAGTATATTCGTGGAAATCTTCAACAGTTCGCCAAAGATGATTGGATGGACATGATGCAAACGTTGACTACGCTTAAAAGAATAAAGGATAAACCGCTTTGAGTTGGTGAATCCCTGAGAATACGCCATGCTTTCGACTCGATTCGTTGCTTTGTAGAGGTAAATGAATTCATATTTAGCATGTATTACTACTTTTAAAGGCCTGTTAATGCATCAAATCGGTATTTTTAGCCTCCCATACAAACGTAACATAATTTGCTGACTCCGGAAGGATAAAGGGTTTGGCATATCTGTGCCATAACATCGAACCAAACACCCTATGTGTAACACAGGGTCCCTCTTACCGCTGTGATGCATGAGTCTAATAAACAACCTTTCTGTAAAAACTCTTATTTACTAGTTGCCATAAGTAAATAGTTGCACAAACGGCAGCGATAAACCCACATTTGAACATTAGACATCTATTTTCTAAAACTATATGAGAGCAAAAATTTGAAGGATAGCTAGTCTTTTTAAATATTATTATTTATTTTGCTTTACACCACCCGTATGCACATCTGCTGTACAGACTCCATCACTTTTTTACGTTTTCGCTCTTTCAAATATTATCAATAAACTACAAACTAACCTTCAATCGTGAGGACTGTATCCGGGTTGTTTGTAGAACTAGCGTAAGATGGAGGAGGCATAAATGGATACGGTTGATTCGGTATAGGACCTAAATACATCATTTTTAATGTATCGATCAGCCGTCATGGTGTAAATAAATAATGTGAATATTATGATAACAATGTTTTACTTTTTATTTTCTGCCTACTACAATTTTCACGAGAGGGTGCTAAGCGAAATACAACCACAACGTTGCTGAGATATTTGCAAAACTCTGGACCGCAGTTAATCCCGTTGACGAATGATTGCTGATGGCAAGTGATTGATAGAACTAGCTGAGAGACAGGCAGAACGAAGGACCAGCATGGTGTGGTAGTGAACGCATTAGCCTCCGGAAAGGGTAATAGCTTGTTCGTTCACCACTTTAGATACCTGCACTCCAGAGTTTTGCAAAGATCTCAGCAACATTGTAGTTGCATTATGATAATAATGTTAACCTTTTATTTACTTCCTATTAGAGGTTTTGCTGGCAGACTATTATGTGTGATACAACTGCAATGGTGCTGAGATAATGTCTATGAAATACAACAAAACGTAAAACATTGTGATTTCAACTACAGCCATAGCTTAACTGGGTTCTATGCCGATTTGCGCTCCCCAGATCAACCCCGCTGACGGGTGATTGCTGCGGCAAAAAGATCGATAGAAATAGCTGATAGACAAGCGGAACGAAGGACCCGCATGGTGTGGTGGTGAACGCGTTACTCCCCGGAAAGGACAATAGCGCGTTCGTTCCCCACCATAGACACCTGCGGTCCAGAGTTTTGCAAATATCTCAGCATCATTGAAGTTATACTTCCACTTTTCTTCAGCCACTTTCTTTTCTGGCACGAAACTTCGTTTTTCATTTACTTTGCACAGAAATCCTTGATATGTGGATTTAGACTACAGCGTGCGCTCAACTATGCTTCATATTTCACTTGAATAATCTAGTCTGCTCTATTTTTTATATGACCCCTCTTCACGTCTGCTGTGCGGATCTCAGCACTTCTCACATTTCATTCGTTTCTTTGCATCCATTGTCCACGAAGATCTTCCAACTTTTACGTGTGGATTCGGTTGCTGCTTGAGGATTTCCATTTCATTTTGGACGTCGTGGAATGCTGGTCAAGGAATTCTTTTTGGAGTCCTGAAATAGCCGGATTAGAGCGTTTCCAATTGGATTGCAGAGAGTGATTTTTTCCCATACAAGTGTCGTACCAATTTGTCGATCGGAAGGGATGAGAGGCTTGCTTGGCCAGGGGCGGAATCGAACTAATGCCACGCTCGTGATGACGGACATCACTACCACCATGGTATCCGCCCCTGATCTACTCTGGTTATGCTAAATACAATACCAGTGGACAAATGGCGCCTAACGAAAATATGCGTTCAAAAATACTGCTCTACAGCTTTGTTTATTGCTTTTACAAAATTTCTTATAGCTTTCGGATCGACAATCGTTGATTTAGCTTGATGATGACTCGCGCCTAAAATATTCGTTATTGCCATTCACAAATCTCCAACCGTTATAATCCTTTTTATTCAATGTGTTAAAGCCACATTAACCATTTTGCTGAGGGAAATTGCCGTAGTGCTCATTCTAGTGTAACTTACTAAGGACATTTTCACTGAAAGGTTCGTAATTGTTCCATAGTAAAATCGGCTAACGGGCGCATCTGTTAGAGATGGCCGAGTGCTTAGCATGCCCTCTCTACCCCGGGATGGAGAAATAGTTGCCAGACCTGTCTGGAAAAGAGGATAGACTCTTACTTGATACATTAGTGGAGAACCGCATGTTATGACATAGGGCAGATATGGATCCATTCTCATCTAACCATGCTTCGCGAAGTAGAATGCATTCGCATTCTTCGTGTATTGACTAAGAGTCATCCTTTCCAATCAGCCAGCCAGTTTGCACGCATTCTTTTGTTTCTACATGATCCAAAATTACTTCTTCTGCGCTGAGCCCTGCACTTGTTGGTTTCGATTCGTTTCCTCCCATCCAACATCCGCAATGATCTTCGAAGATTTCGCGCGTTGTTTCAACTGCTACTTGAGGATTTCGTCCTCGTTATGAATGTCGTAGAATGCTGGCCAAGTTAAACCTCCTTGTAGCCTTGGAAATAGTTGAGGTACGTCCCATGTGGATTGGAGTAGAGCTTTGAGGCGTGAATCGAACTAGCGCCTTTTGCTTCTTGATCGACACCATCATTAACCACCGCGCTATCTTCGTCGCTCTCATTCTTTTTATCTTTTTTATGCCACCTAAAGCTTCACCGATGTGATCGCTACGTTTCGGTCACACGAAGAGATTATCGGGTAATAGATAATGCCACAATTATTTTAAGCCTAAAAAATAATTGATGAGAATGTGAGCTGAGCAATTTTATCGATGTTGCTGATTGCCGTAAGCTCAAAGACTTCAAATGGACCCATATTCCGAAAAGAAATGCAGTGGAGAATGAATGCATTTATTTGAAATACAATTATATGTATGTTAAAATGTGAACAAAAGTCAGAACTTCATTTAGACTTCGAAACCGCGATGACCCTTTTCCACAGGCTCAGGTGTTATCCACTACACTAACAAGAGGCACCTGCTTTGCCTTACAGTCAACGAGTCTTTTTAGGTTACAAAGAACAAGTCCCGACGTTTGGTTCATATTTTATACCTATGTCACGAGGAGCATATTATAGAAAACCGACGCCTAATAACCCCGCTTTCGGTGTCTCCATCCAGGCATCTATCTACTCTACTATCGTCCAACGACATTCGACATGAAGACGAAGTAGTTCGAAGCAAACCCATACGAAAATCTGGAAACCTTCGTGAATGCCAAGAAATGAGTCAAATTAAAACAGTGCTAGAATCCACTCAATATGTGATAACGACTCGTGTAAAAAAAATGAGAAAGCTTGTTTTCTATTTGATCAGAACTGCATTAGTATTTTGTTGCCCGTTTGTTGACCTTAAATATGCTAATATATGTATCGCGAAAGGCACGTGTGGTGCAGTGGTTGTAGGCGCCCTGCAACACACAAGTGGAATCGATTCCCGCGCCTATGGCTCACCAAGCCTTCCACTCCACGGGGCCAGTAAATTGGTGCCAGTAATGTCTGGGAGGATAGCAGCGCTGACTCGATACAACTGTGGGCTGCCGCGAGTCATTGTAGAGGCCAGATATGCATTCAATAACCTCCAAACGATACTTAATGAAGTAGAATCCATGACGCAATCCTACGAGATTGATAAACGCTGAGAGCTTTACTCCTTATCCTTTTATATAGCTATGTCATAGAAAATTGGATTACCTTCTTAAGAACTTCCAATACGCTACGTTTTAGACAAAACTGGCCGAACTGTCCAAGCATCCGTTTATCTCAGAAATAATCCATCAAGAAAAAAGCGGAACAACCATTCTCTTTCAAACAACAGCGTTTATGAACTGTTTGTGAAGGAAGCCTTGTAACAATATTCTATATGGGATAAAAGCTAACCTAATTTCTACGTAAAAACAAAACAGAGCTATTGAAAACAGTCGGCGTAGCTCAATTCGTTAAATCAGCTATAACGGCTATTGTGTTAAAGTGCTCATCGTTGTCACAGAGTTCGGCCAGTGTTTTTTCTAGATCGGAATCCAAAAGCTGGTGTGCACACCCACCACCACATCCGACAGCGTATGAAAGACGTGGAGCGAACACGCCACTAAAACGAATATATTTGGATTTATTTATTCTTCTTGCTGTTACGTTCATCTAATAGCTCGTTTACTATGTTAACCTTTTATTTTCTGCGTACTATAAATTATCACGACAGGGTAGGATGTAAATTACCATCATAACGATACTGAGATATTCGCAAAGTTTGGATCCCACGCCAGGTCGAACCACCCTTTCCAGGAGCTCGGGCATTACACACTGCTCCACGAAAGTCCTTGCTCTGCGTTTCTCGCGGCTAGTTTTTCACCAAGTTGGTTTGCTGTGGTGTTTCAGGCTACAATACTTCAGCGCTTAAATAAAGAACTTTTGTACAGAACTTAACTTGAAGTCGGTGATGTGAAGACTCTATCAGACTCGAAGAGAATAGCAATTATACTTGTCCATCATCAGCTATGAATCTAGGAACCTCCAGAGGTTACAACGAAACCGGGAATCAATCAAAAGCTTTCTTGTGCAAAAGGGCATTTCAGAATGACGCTAGTTCATTCTAGTTGTGTTTAACTGGATTCGACCCGAATCATCGTGGTCCTAAAGAAGATGAAAGCGCGGAAATAGAAGCAGTAAGAGTTTATATAACAACTTCGTGCAAGCTCAACAATTGAAGAGAATGTCGCAATTTATCCACTCGTGCGAGTTTTCCAGTTTATAGTCGAAGCTGCAAGTTAAGTTGGTCCAATACAATTTAAGCAGTGTTGAGTGTAAGCAGTTTTCTTTCAGGCAAGATGATGCTCAACTTTTAATATACCAGTGCTTCTGGAGACCTCTGTAACCTCAACACAGGTCCATTGCTTCCATACCAAGTGTGTTTAAATATGGTCGTTTTTTCTACAAAATACAAAGAGCTAGATGTTTATGGTCATCATCAGCGGGCACTGATTCTCTTCCTGTTCATTTTCATCACACTTTCGGCTAATTACAGAAGCTAGAAACGTCTTTATCGCCTTCAACTAACCGATGAACACCGTCGGTTTCAAGTCGGAAGTAATCAATTACCTCCCGTACAGTCATATAGCATGGGAATTCATCTTTAATCCTCAACTGAGCTCTGAAAATCACTCAAACTATGATATTCAGAATTCTTGTTGTTTTATAAGACATTAGTGACGTCATCGACATACGTTCCATTCATATTCTGATGAAAAAGCACAAAACGGACTTCTACCATGTACGCACAGCCCGCGTCAAAGTGAGAACCTTGCGAGATCAGTGAAGTAGTCTGAACAAGTGCACATGTAAATCTTTTCCCCACGAAAGGCCGATTTAGGTAAATTAATAAATGTGCGAAAAGGCCTTTCACCCTTTATAGAATGTGTGGTCTGCGGAGCCTCAGGATCACATGGTACTAGTCATCCTAAAGGTCTCGTACTTGCAAAAATTTCCTTGCGGCTTTTTCGTTTTTTCATAACGATTTCAGAAAGGATTCTTATTGATTTATATAACATGCAAGTAAACAATATGTCATCTTTCATCTACATCCATCTCAAACGAGGATGTAATTGTCACCACTTATCGCCATGATGTGAAAATAATCAAGGAACAGTTCTGATATTTCTGCTAAAATCTCTATACTTCCCAACCCCAGTGCAGACCTCAAAATCGCCACAAGGAAAAAATATCATAAAGCAATGAGATTTCTGTAACCTGATGACAACATAACCGTTATCCTACAAGCTGACAGGCATGACTTAGACGCACTTCTATCAACCAACGCGGCAAATTATCTTCAAGAAAACAATCCCTGCCCAGGGCATCGTATAATTGTAAGAGGAATGCCAGGCATCTTATGTTCTAACCTTTCTATGCTACGGATATGCTGACAGCTTTGAATGCTAATTGTTTCAGTGGTTGATGTCCAAAAAATGGTTTCAGATAAGAAAACCAGCGAAGCCTAGTCGAAAATTCACCTCGAAAACACCACTGCTTTATCATCCATCTCTCATCGACTGTAAACAACAAAACTGCTCACAGAGCGTAACAGTGGTTAGGGAACTCTCTCGATTAGGGCGAGAATGGCAAACACACAAAGGAAAATCCTTATCAAATCTTCGTTTTGTTGACCACACTGTCATTTATTCAAGGAAAACTAGTGAACGGAGATGATAGTCAAAGCATTCAACGAAGTGGAAAAGAGAATTGGACCGTGCATAAATCAGAAGAAAAACCAATTCGTGAAAGCCTATTAGGCACTGGTAAACAAATCAAGTAAATGGCTCACTGGTCATAGATGCCACATCCAACATCTACTTAGAGTGTTCCATGAGTATGGAAATCGATACGAAGAAAAAACTGGAGAAAAAGGAGTGTAGCACGAGGTACGTTCAAGTACTCAATTATGCCTACATCCAACCAGTGAACTCGAAACACTTCACTTATATTCTCCATTCAACACTTCTTTCAGCGATACGCAGCTAATTAGGGGATTGAAACTTGGAATGTCGGAAACTTTCCACTACACCCATAGAACACTTTTAAAATATAATCGGTACATACATGCTTCGTAGCTTGGATAACCAATGATTATTCCATTCTAGAGATCTAGTAGAGTAGACATCGAATGCGAATCATAGATGGAAGCCGGTTACAAAATAAAGAACGGTGTGCGACATTTGAGCGAAGGCGAATGGCGGAGTTAGGAATAATGGGGTGCATACTTGAAGAGGAACACCACCACGAACGACTGCGAGTAGGGAAGGAAACGATCGGAAAATATGTTTGGGCCCGCAGTATTCTTCACGGTAGTCTAGCTGGCCAAGCAGCCAAATATCCAAGAACATACCACAACCTATATAATGTCAGTCGTTTATCAATACAAACCGATATCGACTTTTTAAAGCGACCACTATTCGTTCGATCTCCCACGATAAACAACGTTATTTTATATGAATCCATCTAGCGCGCTCGTTTTTACTAATGATTAAAAACAAATGAACAATGCTGCTGAGATTGAATTATGATGTTCTTTGTAAAGCTGCTGACATTTCCGCGCAACCGAGTCAACGACAAAACTCATGTATGGTCCCGTTTGAATGAGTAAGAGCATGAAAGCTATTGCTTCCTAGAAGAATTTTTTCACAAGACCCGTGATCACATCTACTACGTGGATCTTAGTACTTCCTGCATTCAATTCGTTTCCCTCGTATTCGACGTCCACCATGGTCTCCGAACACTTCGTGTGTTGTTTCGGCTGTTACTTGAGGATTATTTCATAGTCTTTTTAAACGACTCAGAATGCTGGTCGAGTCGTTTCCTCTTACACTCTTGAATATAGCAAGGCTTGGATGTACACCCGTGGATTGGAGGAGAGCGTTGGGAAAGGTTCAAAGCTGCGCCTTGCTTCCTGATGTTTTGCTTCACTAACCACTCCGCTATGACCACCCCTTCCTTTCCCATCACCTAAATCCCGTTAGAACAAGTAATCGATGGTGAGTGGATTGATGTGTCTAGATAACTGTTACCATCATTGATGAGGTCGTTGAGTTATTTAATGATGAGGTATAGTTTGAAGTCGTCGAATATCCTATCGATGATTGCGATTCGGAAGCAAGAAAAGCTGAACGATGAATCTCACTAAATATATGAGTTCTCTTGAAGAATTTGAAGAAAAGAGCACTTTGCTGCATATTTTTATGTTTATTTAAAACAACTACAAAAAGCATATTCTTCAATAAAAGAACACATCCTTAGTTTCAATAAAGTCGAATGCCATTCTATCTCTAGGCAAATACAAGCAATATAGGCAAGTGAGGCAATTAAACTGGAGGAAGACTTTTTGAAGGAAAGCGGTTAGTGTAAGTGGGAATGGGCTTAGCTAACAAAAAAATACTGATTTTGGCTCGTTTTCGATGACTCCGACACAGCAACTGTGGCGATGGACTACGATTCATGCACGCTGTCTCACACCATAGGGAGCGTATGCCACAGTGGTCGGAGGCGCCCTACAACACACACGTGAAATCGATCTTCTCGCCCATGGCCCACCAAGCCTTCCATCCCTCCTGGGTCGGCAAACTGGTACCAGACTTGCCTGGGAGATAGCAGCACTGAGTAGATACATCGGTACGCCACCGCGAGTTATTGTAAAGGCCAGATATGCATTCAGTCACCTCCAACGATACTTAATGAAGACGAGTGCATGGCGCATCCCTCAGATATTGATCAACGTCAAGAGCTTTATCCTGTTCTTATCTTTTACTTCGTATTTTTGTTGAGCAAACGCGAGGAGTTACTATTCTTTGTTCACGATTAAGCTGACGTTTCGGCGGATTTCGCCTTCTTCAGAGCCGCCTTCTATGAGGTTTCCACTAAGTACGTCACGTAGAGACCAACCGCACAGAAATCACGTGGAAGTATATTGTGTATCTTATCTTTTATTTCATATCATAGCCGATGGCTTAAATATATGGAATTTTTAGTTCGACCCGTTCTTCTTTGCCATCTCTTCTTGGTGTGAGCACAATTTTAATGAAATGTGATGAAACCTGACATACCTGCCATATCTTCAAACTCTGTATCGGGGCGAACTTGAAGCGAATACTCGTAGAGATATTGGTCATCATTTTGTTTGTCACATTTCAGATTTGCACTGACCGCTTGCATTTGGCCTAATATTCTTGTAAGAAACGGAGTGACAAGATCGTTAGTGCTGAAATAATAAATAACTACTAATCAAATCATCAGTCATCCCTAGGGTTAAAGCATATGTGAGATGTATCTACCATGTAGTGGTCATCATATCGAGATCGGTGAAGGAGTTACAGCTGAACTGATGAACCAGTTCTCGACCTCTTCGGCACGCAAATGATTCTATTTCAGTTTATATTAATTAATCGAAATGATAACAACATGGTTGTTTCTCCAAAACAAGGGAGAAAATAAATCAGAAGATAAAAATAGGCGTGTTCGGTTGGTCAAATTGTCTATCTTTCTGACTCTGCCAAAAACATCTTCCAACCACTTTGTTTCCACTTAGTTGTCATCCGCGGCAGCTATGGGGCATTTTGGCGTCTTTGGAAACCAATCTGTGACAACAATCTACAAACCGTTCCTGATCGCAAACGCAGTTGTTCGGTGTAACCCACATCACTTAATTTCAGCAGAATTTAAACACACAGATCTGTCAGATGTCATGTGTATCTGTTGTAATACAACAGACACCATTTACGCGCCTTGTGACATTGCGTAAGTTTTTATGCAGGGTTGAAGTGTCAAGCCACTTCTTGTTAAGTATGGGAGCATTGGCAGAAACGTTAAATTAAGAAGCTTAACGCGGATTTTTGAGTACACAAAGTGATTGATGGCTTCTGTGAAGGGCTGGAACGTGGTCTCTATTTCCTTGGCTATTCTTCATTATTTCATCACTGTTCCGTTTTCCGCATTTATAAGAAGCCTTCCTACAAACAGGGAACACGGTCCCTGTAATCAGAGAACCCACAAGTTCGATTTGGTTGCGTTCATATCACTGGTTTTTTTAAAATGAAGTAGTTCTATCTAGCTTATTCGTATTTTTTTGCGTGTTTTCTTCTCTGCTTGTTGAGCACTTCAAGCACCGTCTTCGCTTCGCTAGAAGCTCTCGGATAAATGACTTTATTTCTCGCAAAGAAAAGGTTGGTATACCAATATTTCTTCGTCTGTTTCCCTTTCCGGCTTTTTTAAATACAAATGACGGCTGACTCATTTTGGTAGAAAATTGCGAATGGTATGGATACTCGATGAGTTAAAATAGATTGGCAGTATTGTAAGTATTATGCATTAACTGTTTTCAACGAAATATTTTAAGTGTTCTATGCACGGAAATCACTTCTCACCTTCTTCGCATACAGAGAGAATAGTCTTGAACAGCATGTTCGAGCTCATTGTAACAGAACTGAGTGAAATTCATCAGAATTTTTGTCTTCTAATACCCAAAGTTATCTCCATACTATATGCACTACTCCGCGAAGATCTGGGCAGATGCGGATACGTTTCCATATTAAATGTAGCGATCTAGACAGGAATCACCGTCGCTAGTGAAGCTTTGTCATGAAGAAAAGAACTCAAACTCGCCTTAGTAGCTGCTCTTACACAGTAGGTGTAAGCAGACGAAGCTGATACTTACTTGGATACTTAGATAGTCCATTCTCAATGGTTGTGCGAGTCCCAGCATAATTTCCATTGTTTTGGAGTTTTGCTGGCTTTGTTAGTGTTGTTCTTTGAAGTCCCGAGGCCACCCAGGGCAAAGCCTGTCCCAGGTCGCCACCACCACAAACGATTGCCACTCTTGTGGATAACAGGGAGATTTGCTACCATGCGACTAGTTTGGTACCAAGATAGTAACGGATACTGGTATTGGTTTCCTTTTAGCTGGGCTTCTTGATGGATGCTCCAAACCCCTTCTCAGCTTCGGAGACCCTTCCAGGAGAATAAATTCCCTACAATACATTGCAGTCCGACACCCAGAAAAGCTTCCCAGCCACGGTGAGGCGGTAAACCGTTAGGTGAACGAAGCTGACGTGAATGAAAATTCCTATCAACGTGTTTATCATACATAGCTTTATCAAACCTAGTGTGACAGCTTGCCACCACTGCAGAAGAAGAGTACTAGCATGTTCTTTGGTGTCTATTGAAATTATAACCGTAATTCACTTCGCTATAGCCTCCAATAATCAAATCCGATGATGAATTCTAAGACAGCACGACAACAGCTGGTAGAGGGACACCCAATTTTAATGGTTCATGGCATCTTTAAACTCACATGAACACCATACAGTAGCTAAGCAAGGGTAGAATGATGGTTCACCGGCGACGACTACTTGCTGACCGAGTAAATGACCGTGATTATATTCAATGCTCTGCTATTTTATTTCTTGCTGCCTCCTCACTCTCTTTTACTTGACTCCTCCCTTTCATGGCACACTATGGGGTTGGGGCTGGATGGACACCAATTTTTGAGCAAAGAAAAAAAAAGGTTATAGTTCCCAGGATCAACTTTCTATTAGCCTCGGCATTGGAATATGAATGTGTTGTTTTCTTGTTCAGCAATCGCGAGGTTTTTAAACAGCATACATTTACTTCCATAAGAAAACAATACAATACAACGCTAGCTGACGTTTCGGCAGTATCGCCTTCTTCAGAGCCTGGAAGTGCATGCTGATATACAATCTACTAGGCCAAACGCTTCAATGACACTTACAAAAAGACGAGAAACTCTCTGGTAATTACACGATCAACAACTTCTCGAAAAAACCCACCGCTTTTTTCGTGACTTCCAATGAGGAAGTTTAGAACAGCTGATTATAGTCGCATGTGGTTGACGACTGCCAAAAAAGGTTATCTCAAACCTGATGTATTAATATCACACCAAGGTAGTGGTAAAAAGGTAAATCTAACTTTTATCGTATTGGTTCTAATTATTTTATCTATTTGAATGGTCAGTCTCAGCGAGAATTTCAATCAACAACATCCTCTGCTTGATGTTCTTATTATAACTGTGCGTCTCTTTAAATATTAGTTTCTTTTGCGTCTCTTCAATGTAAAACTAACAACTTTGTAGTTCTTCTGCTTAAGGTATTAAGGAAATCCATGGAGAATCGATATTTCCAGAAGGAAACCGGTTAGAATATGAATTGGTGCTACCCGATTTAAAAAGGAACGAGCACATCACAACTGTAGATCAAAGAGAGCGTCTGTCAACCACAATGACGCTGAGATGTTTGCAAAGTTCCGGACTTCAGGTGTCTGTGGTGAGGAGCGAACTCGCTAATAATAGGAGACTTTCCTTTCCGGGGACTAATGCGTTCACCACCACACCATGCGGGTTCTTCGTCTTGCCTGTCACCTAGTTCTATTGATCAGTGCTATCAGCAGTTACCCGCCAACGGAATTGATCTAGAGAACCAAAATCGGCATTGAACCAAGAAAGAACGTTCATCAGTTTATTTTTGTGGCAGTCTGGTAACTTCTGAAGGATGGGAGGTCCAGCCCGAGGAAAAGCCACTGTCTTTGTCTCGCGAATGTACAACTGTTTTCAGCACAACTTCTATGAAGATATAATAGGCAAATAAAAATTAACAACTGAATACAAAACGCTTTATAGTGTACTGATAAACCCGTAGCGTATACGAAGAAGATATACAACAAATCTGCGTCAAGGACAACACTGCGATATGTCCTGTCACGGAAGTGTCTATAGTATTCAGAGGAGAACACAATTCATAATAATATTTTTGTCGGTACAAATTATAGACCCGTCACAAAATTCATAATTCTTATTTATAAAAATAAATATTCAAAGCACTTTCAATCAGCCACTTTCTTCTTAAGTATTCACAGTATGCTCAGCTCTTTGTCTTTGATGATTCGAAATCTTCGAGTCATTCGGAATATTCGATGCACGGTAAGAATCTCTATGATTAAACACAAATAAGGTAGCGGGCAACGAGTTCGAAGTGAACTTCGTCGCTGGCTTACTATTCATTTATGAAGCTTTAAAATGTGCTGGACTGAGATCGGATGTAAAACATAGGGATCGGAAAGAAAAGAATCGACGGTCATATCTACGAAATATTTTCGCTAGCGTCAAGCTTACTATTGAACATATCACAACTACGACAAAAGACAAGGTGTTCTCCAATGTGCCATGTAGTTCGCTCGTTTCTCGTCTATAGGAAAGCGATGTAGAATCGAACCCAGAAGACTATTCGGTTTCTGGTTCATTATTCCACAGGTGTGATCCCAGACTTTTTACCGCACCGAGACGGTGTTCGAATGTCAAGGCGAGCGCAGCTAACTGTCGGCAACTCGGGAAAGTTTTGAATTTGACTATAGCTAGGTGGCGGTGGATATGGTGGCGGTGCTTGCAAACCCGGAAGTCCCTGAAATGGCAAACTTTCAAAGCATAAATAAAATTTGTATCAGAAGTAAGTGAAATGAAATCGCCGGAAGCAAGATTGATGGCTGAGGAGTGTATAACGTAACAAATAAAAAGCAGTGGACAGAATCGCTCACCTGAAAAAGTTGCGGATCTCGCATGGAAAGTTGCGGTGTGGTGTTTATCGGGTACGGTGGAACATACATAGGATACATAGCTGACGTATCCGTTACCATTACTTCGGAATAATATCCTGAAATGTTCTTCTCCATAGATTTTTCATCCGACCCTTTATGACTCTCCGATGTTAAAGTATTCCTATGGCAAGAATTGTTTATTTTAAACAAATACACAATAAAAAATAGATGTTCAGTACAGGAATGTATATCTGGACTGAGAAATTCTGCATCTTGAAATATCAATTGCTAGACTGAACTTATATATTCAATATATTTGACGTAACTCCCACGACCGACTTTCTATTAAAATCGGCATTGATCAAGTAATTCTTCGCATTTTTGTTGAGCAAACGCGAGGTCTTATTATTCTCGACAGTCAATACACTTTCTCCGCCGCTGTCTAAAACATCGAGTCGTTCCGAACTTCATCAAACGAAGACGACTACACGACGTATGCGGACTACCAGAGGACAGTCACCGAGTACTGGACATCGAATTGCGAATACTACGCACCTGTCTACGAAGCCGACAAAACCAGAGGTTCGCCAAGTGGAAGAAGTGCGAGACGAAGGAAAACTTTTGTGCTCAGTATTTGGAGGACCGCCTCTGGAGGAGAATAGTGGGCAGGCTCTGACGAAGGCGAAATCCGCCGAAACGTCAGCTTATTCGTGAATAAAGAATAATAACAACTCGCGTTTGCTCAACAAAAATACGAACAATATATTTGATATTAAACACTAGAAGCGTAGAGGCTAGATGTCTTGCAACACATGCATTGTCGTGATTCCATCCTCAACCATGCCTGCACAGTCCAAAAAGTAGCGGTAGAATTCTCTGAGAAAATATCTTTTCGATCTATGTAGGTGCACAACTCCCTGTGATGGACATCTGTGAACATTCCAGTACAGCCATTCCAGGACAACAGGAGAAATCGACTCAATCAACACTCAACGAAATTGATAGAAGAAGACAACCTTGATAGACCAACACGTCAGGATTCGGTGACGAATTTTGTTCTGACAAGGTCTTCCTTACTTAGATACTTGCATGGACCGTCTTCAGTGGTTGTGTGGGGCCCAGCATAATGTCCAATTTTTCGGAGTTTTCCTGGTTTAGCTATTGTGGTTCCTCGGAGTCCCAAGATCAGCATAGGCAAAGTCTGCCCACGTCGTCACCAGCACAGGCAGGAGTCACCTTTGTGGATCAGAGGGAGATTTGCTACCATGCGAATAGTTTGATACTAGGACGGTGGCGTATCCTGGTTCTGACGAGGTTATCGTCCGTAATCACACATATTCTCAAACAACAAACAAACGTGCAATTATTTGGACAAAGTAACTTTGAGTACGAAACCGATATCCATCCTTTACAGATTGCTGTCACGGTTGGTTCCTTCACTGAATTTAAACCTTCAGAGTTTTCCTCATTCAGCATTTTTTGTGCTCCTGTTTTTGCCAAGCAGCGAAAGATTGAGTTACGGGGTTGGAATTCATCTGCATACAACTTCTTGGCTGTTCCGAAGCAACAGCTTTCTCAATCTGCATTGGCGAGCATTCAGTAAAAAAAAATGAATGAAACTAAAAAAAACGAAAGACGTGTTTGATATCCGAACACCTTCACAATCATACGCATTGACTTCAATACATTTATGAATGTTTCTTTTGTCACAAAAAAATTTCTTGGAACATCTCTCGTACTGATGGTCTTAGCAACGGCTTACCTGCAATAGGTGTTACAATCGGAGTAGCCTTTTCTACACGTTACAATTTCTAATAGCAGCGCACCGTTATTGGAACGAGTTTATCCGCCTCCATGAGCCCAACAATTATTTTTTGTTTACTATGCAAACAAAGCAACATGGAAACTTCCAATAGAAAAACAAAAGAAAAAAGCAGATCACACTTGATGGAGGAAAATCAACCAACACCCATCCTACGCCACCTAGTGAAGTCCCCATTCGAGCGGTGCTCTCTTCGCTGGATTCGACTCAATGAGATAACGACGGTTGTGGGTCATCGCTTCGGATCAACGCGGCTCTCAAGAAGACGAAGGCGCCGAGGGGCCGACCGAATAAAAAATTTTTTGTACTGAGAACTCATGTCTCCTCAATCATTTAGAAAATTATGAACATAGAAACTTTTCCCGACAAAGATGGTTCTAGGAATTTACGTATTCTAGGAACACTTCGCAAACTATGCATTGGGTTAAACGCACTGGTGTACTAACAATTCAATGCTGGATGCACTTTTTTGTACGACTTGTCTTCACATTTACCGTGTGGATCCCACCATTTCATGCACTCGATTCGTCTTCTCCCAACCATCATCCACGAAGGTTGTGAACTTCTCCTACGTGGGTGGTTGCAACTTAAGGATTGTAGTCTTCTTTATGATGGTCGTTGAACGCCGGTAGAGTCGATTCTTCGTACAGACCTGAGAGAGTTGTAATAGATCGCTGCCACTTGGACTGAACAGAGTGATCTTTTCCCAGACGAGTCCGGCACGAATTTCCTCATTTCTGAAGGATGACAGACTTGGTGAACCTAAAGCATGGTTGAACCACTACCATGCTGTATTGAATAAGTAATAACTATATCAAAAAAAATTAATGATGAGACAACACAAAAAATATTAGGAATTCATTAGCCAGGAATATGAAACGCATCCACCAGTTAAATGAATCAAAGCAAATAAAAATGTGAAATTAAATTAACATTACAATTAAGAAAGTGGCTAAACACCTCGACTTCTCTCCTTGAATGCACTTGGAAGGCGCTGATTTTACTGACTACAGATTTTCTGAGCACCACATACCTGGAGGTGGAGTGAACGGCACCGGAGCCTGACTAGTTTGAATTTCGACCGAAGCCGTCGAATGCGACGCTGACGTACGTCGCAGGCGCCGTGCACGAGTTGCCCAACCACGGCGTGCATTCGCTTTACTGCATTTACTATCATTACTATCATTATTATCATTGTTATTATCGCTATTATTATTATTATTATTAATAGCGTTCTTACTTCTATAATGCTGAGATGTTTGCAAAACTCCAATGACGGCAGTGATCGATCGATAGGACTAGCTGACAGGCGAAACGAAGGACTCGCATGGTGTGGTGATGAACGCGTTAGCCACCGGAAAGTGTAATAGCGCGTTCGTTCCACACCGCACACACTTGCGGTCCGGAGTTTTGCAATTATCTCAGCATTATAGAAGTTATATTTCGCAACATACCCTGCCATTAAAAAGAATAGGCATTAAATAAAAAGGTTAAGATTGTGTTATTACTATTATTATTAGTACTAATATCATTATTGACAATATTATTTCACCTTGCTGTGACGTTCACCTCCCGCCGATCCACACCATCGACAACTGCATGAGTGTCCGCTTTTTAGCACTTCCGGGAAAAGATCTTACTAGTCCAGTAACATACTAGTTAAGCAATTTCGCACTAGAACCCGCATGTTTCTTGGTAATAATGGGCTATTTGATTAAGCGTTTTCTGCACAAAATGCTGCACGCTTCATAGAGCTTGCAAACATAATACTTCAAAAATGATTGGATAGTGAATGAACATGGTGAAGAGCAGATTTAGCGCTTCTTGAACTTCATCTCGACTTAGAAGGGAGCAAATCCGAGAGATAAGAAGGTGGACAAATTGAACCATCCTACGCCTTCATTTAAGATTTATTCTGTAACTACGTACAACGACATTAATCAAGCAAATATGAAGTGGATTTCACCATCCATTACATCTTAAATAGCTAGTGAAGCGCATATTTTCACACCAAAAAGATAAATAAGGATAAAGCTCTCGGCGTTGATCAATCCCTGAGGGATGCGCCATGCATTCGACTTCATTAAGCGTCGTTTGGAGGTGATTGAATGCATATCTGGCCTTTACAGTAACTCGCGGTAGCCTACCGATATCTCGAGCTAGTGCTGCTATCCTGCTAGACAAGTCTGGCACCAATTTTTCGACCCCGAAGGAATGGAAGGCTCGGTGAGCCACGGGCGCGAGGATCTATTCCATGTGTGTATCGCAGGGCGCCCCCGACCACTGCGCCACAAGCGCCCTTCTCACGCTATGTTGGAATTTGTATGTACTAAAATCCCAAACGAGCACTTTATGATTGAAAACATATTCTGTCCTTGAAATCTTTGAATGAAGACAGAATATGGATACAGGAAGTTTATCAAGGAAATCAATAAAATTACCTCGCAACAACACATGATTTTAGTAGGAGAACTGACAGGAACACGATGATGAATGCAATGAACGGCACAAAAATGAATATCCGAGAACCACCGAAATCAAGCATAGGACATACTGAAACGATGACGTCACTCATTTTCAATAAGCAGTAACTGCATGAAATCACCAATAACTCTCTCGATCGGAGCGACAACACAAGAAGAGTTGCGTTAAAGAATATCAGGAGGACGATGACGATTGTGGAAAATCGAATCTCAAAGGAATATAGAAAAGAAACACAAGAATGAGAACGAACTCTTGCAGAGACTTAGCACCATTCGGACAAGTATTACAGAGTAAACACGAGGATATACTCAGCAGTTGGATGACCGTCGCGCTATTCGATAACAATAGAAACCCACAAGGCTCCGAAACCCAATAGGGCGGAGCACAACACGCAGTGCGGCGCGTTTGTTCTGAAGGCTGCACAGCTATGTTGATCAGTATAGTTAATAGTACTGCATCACCATTGCTCACATTTGTCATGGAGTAACAGTAAAGTGACTAGTAATGTCCTCTAATCGTTCCACACGAAGTGCTGATTTGTCGACCCAGTTATCTAAGGATTCACAAAAAACCTTCCACTTTTTGTATTAAGCCTTTATTTTCAACGTTCTTGACAAAAAATCAAACACCAGTCGTTTTCTAGGCTGTCAGCGACATTCTCCCGTCAGTTTGCATTCTCAATAAAAGGATAAAGTTCTCGGCGTTGATCAATCCCTGAGGGATGAACCATGCATTCGACTTCATTAAGAATCGTTTGGACGAGATTGAATGCATATCTGGCCTTTATAATGACTCGAGCTGCACCACCGATGTACCGAGCCAGTGCTGCCATCCTCACAGAGAAGGCTGGCACCAATTTGCCAACCCCGGAGGGATGGAAGGCTTGCTGGGTCATGGGTGCGGCGATCGAGGCCACCTGTGTTGCGGTGCGCCTCCGATCACTGCGCCACGCGTACCCTTGCCTTCCCAATGGAGACGTTAATTCTCTTCTGCACTCTAGCAAACCTAATGGAGATGAGCTGTACAACTCAGTTCAAAAAAGTAATCATCACACAGTCAGAAGAGACGGCAACTCATCAAAGGAGTGTAGCTATGTAAGATATAGATATTCTATATTTGCCAGAAACTTCTCTCTATATTTTCTCCTGTTAGGCTGAACAGCACCGTTTCCCTTGACTTGCCATTCCAAAAAGGAAGAGTAGTCGACATATCCGTCCGATGATTATACTGTGGAAAAATAAACCCTTCTATTTAATGAGGTACATTGGAAATAAAATCGCTGTCTAATTCGCTCATGTTAGAATTATAATGAAGTTAGAACGGTGAGGAGCAATTGAAAGTTACAAAGACATATCTATGGATGATCGACAAAAAATGACTTGCTTTATTCGCTTATTTCGCTTGATTTCCAAAAAGTTGACAGCTAGATCAAAGCCTTTAACGGTGTCGTCCCAATAATTCTTCTACGAAACCATAAGTGAGTGACATCATGCGAAGTCTTCTCGGCAGTCCGATGACGCCGCACTTAATCTCCTTACGTTCCATAAATAGATTCCCAATTGAAGCCCCTGATTTTAGCGCATGCGCCTTCTAATTACAGATCGCTACCATAGCCATAAGATTAGTTGACCTTAAAGTTTTCATTACTTCCTTTTTTTTGAAATGTCCGCACTCGCTCTCTACCAAAAATCTACCATCTTGAGTGCTCTTTCAGGATCTTCAAGTACCTAACGACATACATGGAGACTATCTGCTGGACGCGAATCCAACTCCTCAAGAACTTCTTGCTCATATAATTTTACGCTTTCGATAAATTTACATATAGGAAACAGTGCATACAAGCATTCCAACTTCGCACGAAAAGAAAACATATATATATATATATATATATATATATATATATGAAGAAGATTTAGGCTATAACAGAGATTTCCAGCCTGTCACCTGAGTCCGACTCCACGTCGAGACTTAAAAAAATAAAGATAAGTTGCTGGACCTTGATATTCTCCTTAGAAATGCGCCATGTATTCCGATGCATTCGTATCACCTCACCTCATCGAGGAAGACTCATGCGATCCATTCGTAGCAACATAAATGTGAATGAATTGACCTTTGATCAACGCAAGGATTAGCGGTTGACAACCAACGTAATAGAACGATGCATATATTCTGCGGAGAAATCTGTCACCAATTCGCCGACCTCAGAGAAATGGAAAATTGGTTATCTTAGGCAGTAGGATCGAACCACAACAAATATGCTTGTGTTACCCAGCACTTCTGGCTGCTGCGCAGCATGTGCCACCAACACGAATACTCATCGGCTTGAAGCACTCATAGTTTGTCTGTTCTCTAAAATACTTGTACCTAGCGAATAGTAAAATAAATAGTTCTTTGGTAATAAAATGAATTTCGTGTTGTCGACATCATGTTTTCGATTCATGGAGGAAAAACTTGTTGAATTGATGCCTCAAAAAATCAATAAGGAATTCTTTCTTTCTGAGCTACATCAATATTTTGTTGGAAAATCTTCATATCACTATAGATTTTTCCGAAACGCGAGAAAGTAAAGTTTTCGGAAATTTCATATCTAAAGGGATTCTCAAATAATTGTACGCAGTAGTTTCAGTAAATCCATTTTTTCCAGTACGTCAGAAATGAGAGGCGCGTGTGCCACAGTGGTCGGAGGTGCTCTGCGACACAGACGGTGGAATCGATCCCCGAGCCTATGGCCCACCAAGCCTTCCATCCCTCCGGGGCCCGTAAATTAGTACTAGACTTGTCTAGGAGGATAGCAGCACTGGCTCGATACATCGGTAGAGCGAGTCATTTTAAAGGACAGATATGCATTAAATCACCTCCAAACGACGCATAATGAAGTCGAATGCATGGCGCACCCCTAAGGGATTGATCAACGCTGAAAGCTTTATTCTTTAACCTTTTTATGTCAGAAATTTTCGTCAACAACCAATTCCTCATTAGATTAAAGGAATTTAGGATACTGTAGTAGCACGATTGCTTTTACATCTTTGTTACTGCTTTAAACAATTACGGTAATCTAATCTTCTAATTTATGCTTTTAGTCAACGGAAAACAGAAAATCTGTGTTCTGTAAAAATTTTCTGCGTAAATAAATCGATATTTGATCTATTAATTAAATTTTTTGTGGTATAGAAACGGCCATTTCCGTTACCATCATGAGGAACATCTTAAATGCTATGGTACATTGAAAAAACGATCAATTTTATACGCAGAACAAAAAATCGAGGCATAGAAAATTTTAAGGAAACAATAATTATTCTTCTTAGTAGAAGCCTAGGAGCAATGTGTGTAGCGTAAGGGTTAGAGGTGACTTTTAGCACACAGGAGATCCTCTGTTAATTACCGCTCCTTGCTATCCACACCACTTTCAGCCCGTCGCCGACGAGTTGCCACCAGACTCGTCTAGGAGAATAGAAAGCACTCTCTTCCAATGTCTTCGCCGTAGAACCGCAATTCAATTTCAGCTATAGAACTCGGGACCTATCAATGTACTCAATGAATGCTTTCTATCCTCCAAGACAAACAGCACCGATTTGCCGGACCTGGAGTGAAGGAGACTTGGTTAGCCAGATTGATCAATTGGCTGCGTGTCTATTCAAGGGCACCTATGGCCACTCTGTTACCCGCGCTATATGCTGATCTTTGTTCATTACATTAAAAAAGAAATGACGCATAGCTTCGGCCTTTGTAATTTTAATTCAACTGAAAAAATTTGTTCACCATTAATGATCGTTTCAACAACCAATAATATCACTGCTTGTCATTACGAATAAATAAATAGATGCTATAGATTAGCATTACGGACTGCGGTAAACGCACTAGTTGGTATCGTGGAATAATACACGCATGGCTCAGGTTGGACCTCACTTCCGGTCAAGCGAGCCTACCGTTCCGTCGACGTAAATAAATTGGTGGTACCAGATTTGTCCGGAAAAGACTACCCTCAAAACAGAAACGTCTCCGACTGATTTGCTAACGTTCTGGTAAGAATATCTCGGGCTCTCGAGGATGATCAACTTGACTATCATTCAACGATGTTCATAAGAAAAATAAAATGCCAAGTAGCAGTCGAACTAACAAGAAAATTTGAAAACCTTCGTGGATGCCGGATGTGAGATGGCCCAGTCAAACGAAAGAGCTGCTTGGATTTTTGCAGTATGTGGAATAGATTCACATAACTAGTTAAACGAAAAAAAAGCACTACATAACAAAGTATGAGCTAAACATGAATTGAGTAGTTGACGTAGGAGCTTGAAATATGGAAGCCTTTGACATGATTCCGTCGTTGACACATTTGCGACCGTTGCTATGCATTTATATTGGCGTGAATATCGAGAATTTATCGAGCTCGTAGTTAGTTCGTTAACTGGTTAGTAGCTTTTCAACCGAACACTAGACGATCGCCTCTGAGAAAACGAAAAGCTGCTTCTTTTACGAAACATTTTTCACGGTAGCAAGAAAAAATATTCAATAACTGTTTAAAAATACTTTCTTAAAAGACGTTTTTGGGTTTCAGGAAAAGTAGCGTACCTAGTAGTGAATAGGAATCGGACAGAATCAGTCTTGTTATTAGACAGACCTATCCACGGGTGCCTAAATCGGGCTTGGTGCTATTTTTTCACATCAGAATAAAGGATTTTCAAGTTCGAAGAAACAGGAAAGGACAAGAAAGTGCTTTCAGGAACTAAACGAGTTAGTTAAGTATTAATTACTACCAAGTATCTAATCGCAAGAATATTGAACATTTTCAGTAATGGGCGATTGTACCGTAATGGTTAGACAAGCCTGCTGCAATGCAGATGGCTGTGGGTTTTATCCTACGCATCCGGTAAACCAAGACCAGACTTGGGTGGAAGAATAAAGACACTGATTGGACACATTGATATGCCACCGCAAGTGATAGTCCCAATATGCGTTCAATCGCTTCCGTGATTCTACGAATAAAATCGAATACAACCAACTGATCAACACCGAAAGCTTCATCCTTGCCACTAAGTTCTTCGATCTGGTTGTTCTGGAGAAATGCGAGAGTTCAGCACCATTCTTTCTAAA